CAGGCACCGCTGCCCGTCTGGCTGGGGTGGGGACCTGCATTTGGAGCATGGCTGGGGGCCGCGTCCCCTCGGTGCCCCCTGTTCCCCTGCCCCAACGCCCCCAGCCCCACACACACGTTCCTGCCACTATGCCTATCACCCACGCAGCCACCTGGCCCCACACACCCAACCCCAACCCCTGGCACTCGAGGGCTGCGGGGACCGGGCATGGCCCCGCTGGGGGATGTGGGCGCGGGTACAAGCCTGCCTGCTGGCACATCCCCAGCCTGGCGCCACGCTACTTCACTCCGACGTCATACCACTGGTGACATCATGGGGTCTCCATGGCAACTGTCACAAGGTCACTGCCCCGCAGGGGACCATCTGGCTGGCAGAAGGGCTGTGCTGCGACCCTCCTGCCACCCAGGCACCCTGCAGCCTCCCGGCTCACCCCCTTGCCAGTGTGGGGTGGGACCCCGGTGGGGTGCTGTGTCCCACAGGAGAGCAGGCATGGGGTGCCCACCAGCCAGGCTTGGGGTGCCCCAGCTGCTCCCTGTGCCCCCGCTGGGGAGTGCAGCCAAGGCGCCAGTGAGGCGTGATGGCGTGCTGAGGGCGGGGGGACGGGACAATGCTTTTGGGCAACCATCTGGGGTCCGGGCAGCGGCGGCTGCGGGCACGCACGTGAATGGCACACGTGTGTGAGGCAGGCACTCAGCCCCCCATGCACCGGCACCCAGTGCCTGTCCCTGTCCCCTCCTGCACCAGCCACGCGGTAGCTTGGGACATGCCCCATCCATGGGATAGCAGCACCCAACTGTGCCCCCCAGGACATGTGCAAGTCCAGAGCCACCCCGCGCTGTGCCAGCCCCAGCAACCCGAGCCCCCCAGACCAGCCCTCTCAGCTCACACCTCCAGCCTTGCCCCACATGCAGCTGCGCACCTCCCATGCCCTGACACCCCACAACGTGCCTACATGAGCATCCCTCCATGCCCCGGTTCTGCTGCACCGCCTTGCCCAGGCCACCTGCATGCCACCACCAGACACCCTGCCCTGGGCACACTGCCCCCCATAGCAGCCTGAGCACAGTGGGACCCACCGCCCCGTCCCGGTGATGCCAGGCCTTGCGCCAGCCCACAGGAGCACAGCGCTGCTCCCCTGGCAGCCTGGCCAGCAGGCACAGGGGACTGCCAGCCCCACGGGGACACGCTGCTGGAAACGAAGGGCCCGCAGGAGGACCCTCACCTCCCCTGACACCCCAGTCCCCACCCCGGCTAGCTGGCGGTGCTGGGGCTGAACTAGAGAGGCAGGGGCGATGGGTGCATCAGGGATGGCCATGGGTCTTCCAGCCCCCATCACCCTGTCCCTGAGCAGGGCTGCAGGGTGCCCAGGGCAGGGACGATGCCTAGGAACCTGCCCCGGTGCCACCATCCCCTGGCCAGGCACTTCCTGCCGGGGCTGCCTTTCTCCAGCCCCATTCTCCCGGGGCAGACACGATTCTCCCAGGGCATTCAGGCAGAAAAATCCCCCGCTGACCCCCCCATCGCTGCCCCTTGGTATTCCGGGAAGGGCTCCCGCAGCCAAGAGCCACTTCCGCAGCTCCGCTGGCCCCCCTGCCCACAGCCACTGGCCAGTGGCACCACGCTGCTGGGGGTGTCTGGGTCAGGCAGGGCCCCCCCAGCCTTTAACCCCTGGCAGTGCGATTAGAGCGGTGCCCCAGTGTCCACCCATGGTGGGCTGGGGTGATGGCAGGAGCCCACCTGAGGCGGGCACCCCACAGCTGAAGGCTGCCCAGCCATGCCAGCAAGGCAGCCCTGGGAGTCAGGAGCCGCTGGCACTGTTGGAGCCCAAACAAAGTGCCCTGAGGAGGACAAAACAAAATGTCCTTAAAGGCCAGGGAGGGAGAGGCTGTCAGACCCTCCCTGCTCCCCTGTGGCCCCATGGGGACACCCCTGCCCA